CGAACCCCTTTGATATGGTCCACAGGCTGAGAACCATTGCTCTAGAGTGCCCGCATTTACACTGGGGAACTAAGGGCAGCTAGGGGATGGAGATCTGCATTTTGATACAAAGGTTTCAGAGTAACAGCCCTGTTAGTCTGTATTTGCAAAAAGAAAAGGAGTAGCCCACTCTCCTGCTGGTAATAGCTTATCTAAAGTGATCACTCTCCTTACAATGTGTATGATAATCACGGTGGGCCATTTCCAGCACAAATCCAGGGTTTAACAAGAACGTCTGAGGAAGGGCGGGGGAGGGGAGAGGAATAAACAAAGGGAAATAGGTTACTTTGTATAATGACTCAACCACTCCCAGTCTCTATTCAAGCCTAAGTTAATTGCATCCAATTTGCAAATTAATTCCAATTCAGCAATCTCTCGGTTGGAGTCTGTTTCTGAAGTTTTTCTGTTGTAATATCGCAACTTTCATGTCTGTAATCGCGTGACCAGAGAGATTGAAGTGTTCTCCGACTGGTTTATGAATGTTATAATTCTTGACATCTGATTTGTGTCCATTTATTCTTTTACGTAGAGACTGTCCAGTTTGACCAATGTACATGGCAGATGGGCATTGCTGGCACATGATGGCATATATCACATTGGTGGATGTGCAGGTGAATGAGCCTCTGTTGCCAACTGTGCCCACATATCTATTCAGGGGACACCATCATAGGGCCTAATCACATCAGCCACGCTATCAGAGCTCGTTCACCTGCACATCTACCAATGTGATATATGCCATCATGTGCCAGCAGTGCCCCCTCTACCGTGTACATTGGCAAAACTGGACAGTGGGGTAGGGGAAGAGAAAACCTTTTGTAGTGATAAACACCCATTTTTTCATGGTCTGTGTGTATAAAACCATCCTCACTGTATTTTCCACTTTATGCATCCGATGAAGTGAGCTGTAGCTCACGAAAGCTTATGCTCAAATAAATTGGTTAGTCTCTAAGGTGCCATAAGTCCTCCTTATTTTGATACAAAGAACTCTAACCATCTTTAAATAAATCCTGGATTTGTGAACTAGGTCTGCAGAAACGTTGCAGGTTTGGTTAACTTCACTATAGAATCGATGCTTTAATCCAATTACACTACACGTTCTCCAGCACATCAGCCATGTTTATCTCTTCCAAAATTGATGAAATCTCTCTAGTCTTAGGAATGAAATTATATGCTTCTCATTCTCTGCATGCAATGCTAACAATGGATCCCTTTCATATATGTAACAAAGTGTTTGCGGGGGGGCGGGCGGGCAGTGTTACTGTGCTTCCTTGTTTTTGTATCACAGTAATGGATTTGGATTTGCTGCTATTCTTAAAGAACCTTAGCACCTCTGGACCTGAGTTAGATATTTTTTTCTCATTCTTAAAGAGATTACTCTCTAGTTTAATGTGGAGTTTGACCCCTTCTTGCTCTTTCTGTAACCAAAGGGTGTATAGTACTCTCTCTCCCTGTATTACCATTCTTCATACATAGATTATGCAGGGCCTGAATGGTATTTATATTAACAAGGGGGGACCCTCACCTTCTGTCCTCACCTGTTAGGGAAACTGGATGTCCTATACGCTTAGTAAGCAGATACGGACAGTAATTTGGCCAGGGTTGATAGTTACTTAAAGAAGCTGTTAACAGAACTGTGTGATGGCTTGTGTAAAACCATCTGGAGGTCTCAAAGCTACTCCCTGTGGGCTGGTCATCAGAAAAACAGCACCACAGCCAAAGGCAGCCTTAGGAAAGCAGACTTGATTCTCCACTGCCCTGCACTTTGTGCAGACCTTTACCCCATGCAAAGTGAGTGTAATCCTGATTTAGCAGTGTTTTATACTGACTTTCCACAGCACAGATGTAGAGGACTGTACATGGTGCCAAGCAGTGTAGGACCAGGCCCTCAATAAGCATGAGCAGTTCTGTGGGTGCACAGAGTACTCCAGGCCCTTAGACAATATACTGTAACAAGGAAGTGTGTACAAGATGTTCATTTATCTTAATATAGCTGTGCACAAAATACATTAGCAACCTGTCATTCACAGCATGCATGCATTCCTGCAAGCTAAGTGATAAGGCTAAATAGACTGCAAATCCACTGGACAACAGGTGGAATCAATGCTTGGAAACGTAAGTGACAAATGTGATCTGCTCACTGTACATTCTGAGCTACTTAAACATTCACCTTTGTGCCTCGCTGATGCTATTGGACTCAACAAATGCTGATAAGCCCTCTGTGATGTATTCATGACTGAGCAAGAAAGAGTTGAATTTCCACATCTGATTATTATCGGAAATTAATCTAACTCGGCAAGGATTAGTCTGTTGCGGACTTTATCACTTTCCAACAACAAGTACATGACTGGAGACCGGAATTTAAACCCTTCCACTAATACATACAACAGGGCCTGTTGCGGAGCTCAATGAAGTCAATTTTACAGCAGCATAACTCCACTGACTTCAATAGTACTAGTATGAATGAGAGGAGATTCTTTCCCACTTGCTTCCCAAGTGCTGAATGAGCCTATTGCTAGCATTTTTTCCCACTTTTTGTTAACCCATGTTTACTTCAGTTTCTATGGAAGTGTAGGCTTAGCTATACACTCCAGTCTTTCTCACTGCCTTCCAGACTCTGATTATCCACATATGTGCTTCTGATTAGAAACCATTCAGACCATACTCTGTGAGAGTAACTGTGTACATGGTTTTGAGTTCATGTTCAATGTAAATGCCTAAACTGGTCTACAAAATGGAAAACTAAAAGTTACATTAGCAATAGGCTCAATCAACACTTGGGGGAACACGTTTTCAAAGATAGTCATCTAAATCATATTCATAATGTAAGTACATATTTTGGAGTATTTGTACAACTATATGTGCAAAATATACAAGTATGCATATGATTCTCTGTTCTGCATGCATAATTACATGTGCACATTTTGCAAATGCAACTTAATTGCCTGTTTTTAAAAATTTGAGCCTTGATTTTCAGAGTTTGCTAAGCACTCACAATTCCTTCTGAATTCACCACTGGCTCTTTGAGCTAGCTCAATGCACAGAAGTTGAGGGCACTCAACGCATCACAAGATCAGGTCCTATGTAAATCAAATTACTTTCCCTTCAGTACTGGAATTTCATCATCCCAAGATTAGTGAGAATTAATCAGTTGCATGTGTTTGTTTCCTCAGCCATTTGTGTTCTTTCTGGCCTTCCTTTTGTCCTATTTATTGCGGTTTTCTGATATCCCTTACTTTTCCACTCAATTTCTGGCTGCTTTTGACTTACAGGTGAAAAAAAAAATCACTCTCCAGTGGAGTTGGAAATGATTGACTGCCACACTCAGCTGGTAATGGTGATGATTTTTTTAAATATAAACCAGCAAATAAATTAATATCACTTATGCTCTCCTCCCACTAAAAATACTGGCTAGTAATTTGTTTGTAACAGGAGACTGACCACGGTCAGAGGAAAGCACAGGAAATATGAAATACCATAGAGGTCAAGAAATACTGACCCCAGACCAAAAGCGTTCAGTTGAAATGGGCAGCAGGACATCCGAACACTCAGCAGTTTATACCATTTCATGCCCATATAGCTTTCTTGCTATCAAACGATGGCATGCCTGCAGGAAATAAGTTTCCTGTGTCAAAACACTTGTCTCACCAATGATACATTGCAATGCAGGAACATTGCAGCACAGCTTTGTTACAGAAATGTGCATACTGTTACTCCAGCACACTTCTCCTGCCTGATGCCATAGCTTTATATTTTCTTCTAAACAAAACAAGAAGCACAACATAGTGTAATAAAACATACTGCATTTCTAGCTAGTCTGACCTCTGCAGTCACATAAACAATTACCATTATTCAACTTGACAGTACAGTTTTGGGAAAAAAAATAGTGCTAGAAATACTGCAATAGCTAATGGTTTGTCAGCACTCCCCCCACCCCACCCCAATATCTCATTTTCAGAGGTTTGAGGGTCATCCAAACAAATTTGTTTCAGGTTAAAACTTGCAAGGGAGCAAAGTTTGGTTTCACAACATTGGACAACAAAATCCAATCAGCTGTTTTTTTAATTGTGGAAGGAGAGCTAGGGAGAAAAGTTGTTCTCAGAGTTCTTTTGCGGTTGTATGATGGGAAAATGGCTTTAAAATAGAGAGTTTAGTAAGCAACTATTTATCATAGAAATGTATATAGATCCCCATCATCCAAGCACATGTTTGTGTTACCTTAATGAAACAGTTACAAAATATGGCACAACCTCTTAAAGAACTATTTCATGACATTACTAAAAGTCAGTCCAATCTCTGACCAGACAAACAGGTCTTGAACTGTGCCCTTAAGCTCACTAAAACCATGGTTTGGCACACTGCCTGAGATAGGAGGTTCCAGATGTATTACTCTCCCCTCCGAAGGCTGCTACCAGTCACAGGGCATTCAGCACTAGACAGACAAAAAGGGATGTAAGCCGATTGCAACCACCTTCACCATGACAGTGTCCCAGAACATTTACACCATGAATTGCACCTGTGAGTAAATGCCTACTGCACAGCACAGAGCAATGATGTGTGTCCATAATGACTTGCTACACCCTACCAGATGAGCTAAAGCATTCTACACTGGCTAAAGATCCAAGCATTTCTGAATTGCCTAGGTAGTTACATTAAAAATATAATCGGTTATATATTCACACAAAACTTTCTAAAGAAATTTAGATGCCTGGGCTTGTATTGCCATGACAGAGAGAAACAGACAGTATTGCCCATTTGATCTTTCCCTAATACACATTACCAAATTATGCACTAACCCACTAGGTCCAAAGCATTGAGGGACCACCACCAGTTAAGGATGAACCAAGAAAAATGGGGGTAATACATACAACATTGTGAAGTAGTAAGGAGGATCAAAGTACACAGCTTTTTGGAAACATAAGGCATCAAAGGCCAACTAAGGCCATGTCATTTGAGCAGCTTACCTGTTCTCCAGCAGCGTCATGCACACAACCTCTCGCACACCAGGGTTGTTGGCTTTTTCAACAGAGCAGCTTTGGAGATTCCAGGTAGCCACCCTCAGCACAGGCTTGCCGTCTCTCACCCCGCCAAACATCTCCACCGAGGGGCGAGTGGATATGATCTGGGTCGGGCCCCCAGGTGGGAAATCCAAGTCCTCGCTCTGGAGGCTCAGAGAGGTGGGGCTGGGGTGAGGATTGACGGTGAAGCTGAGCCCCCCGTTGGTATTGGTGGAAGGGGGCCGTGACCTCTCGGTGAAAATCTGGTGCCTGATTTTGTCCAGGAAGGAGGAGTTGATGCAGTCCATCTTCACCAGGTCCTCGATGCTTCGGAAGGGCCCGTGCTCCTTGCGGTAGTCCACGATGCCGTGGGCTATCTTCTCCGTGACGCCTCGGATGCTCATGAGCTGGGCCGGCGTGGCCGTGTTGATGTTGAGCCTGGCGGCGGCCAGGTACTGCTGCGGCTCGGGGTTGAGGTCCTTCCTCAGGGAGCTGGGCGAGTGCTGCGCCGAGCTGCCCTTGCTGCTCACGCAGATCTCGAACTTGACCTGCTCCAGCCGGGCGGCCCCGACCCCGCTCACCAGCGCCAGGTCCTCCACTTTCTTGAAGCCCCCGATGTACTCCCGGTACTCCACGATGCTCTGGGCCACGGTGCGGGTGATGCCGGGCAGGGTCATCAGCTCCTCCTCCGTGGCGCTGTTGATGTTCAGCCGCTCCTGGTTGACCAGGATGTGGCTGAAGTTGCACGCCGCGCTGAACTTGCGGCTGTGGCAGAGGTCCGAGGGGTCCCGGGGGATGGAGCGGTGGCAGCCCAGGTTGCCCCCCATGGCCGGCGGCGCGATTCGGTCCTACCCCGCGGCGCGGGAGGCGGGGGCGCGACTCTCCTGCCGGCGGCGCGAGCGGGGCGAGCTGCGGGCTCAAGGCAGCGCGGGGCTCCCCTCCGGCTGCGAGGCTGGGCGCGGACTTGTGCCCCTGCCCCGGCGAGTGGAAGCTCTCCCGGCCCGGCCCGGCCCCGCATCGCCCAGGGGGCGGGGCCTGCAAACGCTCGGCTCCGGGCTAGCGAACTTGGCAGCGGGGCGCGGGTTCAAAGCAGAGGGGAAGTTAAAAATATCCCCGCCCCCTCCCCGCCACCCACACGGCAACCTGCCCCCGGCCGGCCGGCCAGCCAGGCACTCTCCCCGCCCGCCAGGCTGCAGCGGGGGCTCGGCCTGGACAGAGAGAGAGAGAGAGAGAGAAGAGCCGGGCAGCGCGGCGGCTGCAGAAAGGGGGGCGCCGCGCCCGTAGCCAGCAGCCGAGCCGCTGCGGGTGCCCCCCCCCCCCCCCCCCCGCGCGCTTCCTTCCTTCCTTCCTTCCTCTCCGCGGAGTTTCTTTCCCGCCCGGGGCTGCTTGTTGACTGCGCAGAGCGAGGCAGGGGAAGGAGCCTTCTCCTCTCCTGCCGCCGCCGGGACTGATCCAGCCCCGCATACAACTCGCCGCGTCCCAACTCTCCCTCCCAGCCCCGGTCACCGCGCAGCAAAGGCCGGGTTCTCCCCGCCGCTGCCTTCAGGCTCGGACGCCCACCGGCCCCTTGCGCCGCCGCCGCCCCTTCGCTTTCCTCCGGGGTTCGCACCAGCGCTCCCCTCCTTCCGCAGGGGAGGAGGCGCCGGCGGCCTTGGCCTCCTGCTGGGCTGGTCACATGGGCTCCCTCCCTCGCCCGCCTCCCGTGCGGAGCCCAGCCTGCGGCCGCAGCAGCCTGGAGCGGGGAGCGACAGGTAGCTGAGCTGGGGGGTGGCTGGTGAGCGCGTCCCTTCCTTGCTTGGCGCAGCCCTTTGGCTACTGCGGTCTCCAGGTGGTGTCAGCACGGCGGGGGGTGGGGACAGATCTCGCTCTGTCACGGCTCCGACCCCTCACCCCCGAGGTCCTTTTCCAGGGCTCTTGCCCGCTCGGTCAGAAACCGTGGTGCAGGGGGCAAAGAGAGTCATGACCACACGTAGAGCTTATTGGATAAAGACGCTGCCTTTTCCGAGTGCTGCCCAGACATGAACGAACGGATCTGACTGCAAACCCCTGCTAATCCGCGGCCGGTGCTGCGGGCCCGGAAAGTTGCATCTAATCTACCAGGGCTTTGTTGGTGGTCGCAGCATTTGGACGGCAGCCCTCCGGGGTGCCCTTATTAAAAAGGACTTGTCTCCTGGCCCAGATCCCGGCTTAGACATGGTAGATGGCTGATCCCAGCATGGCTTGTTGGAAATCAGCACATTTTCCAGGGGCTTGGTAAACCTTTAACCTGGGGTGGTATGTCCATTCTTTGCAACATAGGAGAGCCACAGTGGCACCTTATATGTGCAACTTTCCATCTTCGGCCAAGCAGAATCCCAGATCCCATTGTGCTGCATGCTGTGCCAACCCCAAAAAAGATTGTCTCTGCCCCAAAGAGTTTACAGTCTGTGGCATCACAAGTGGGTGTAAAACTAATTGGAAGGAACAGGGGCAGAAAAATGAAGAAAAGAGCAACATATGTTTATGGATGCTAGGTATGTGCACAGCTAGATTAAAATGGCATAATACAAATAAATATTTAATATAAACATCAGAAGTGACTACTGGCCCTTTAGGACACACCTAATAAAATAAATAAATGTACACAGCCATAATAGTAGTTTGTTCTTGCATCACCAATGGTAGATTAATGTAAAGAATTTTAGTACACCAAAACAGAAAGCATTTTGATCAGCTTCAACCTCTCACCAAAGGTGCAGGGAAAGGAGATTTAACATTTGAGGGAAGAGCTGGCTGCACTGGGCCCTTGGGTTTCACTTATGCACCAGTGCTTTTACGTTTGCAATGAGTACTGTATTGTGTATTTTACATGACCTTATACATTTGTTTCCTGTTTGAATTTACAAGAAATGTAGCAAATTAGTAGCTTGGTTTTTCAGTGCAAGAAGTGCTTATTCAAGTGATTAAATGATTCCATAAATATAGTGAATTCCAAACCGGGAGAACAGCTTCCAATGCATCAAAAGTCACACTGGGCCTAATTCTGCAAAGCGCAGATTAGAACAATTTAAAAGAGTGTTCTCTGCACTGCAGTAATACTGGGGTAAGAGCCCCAGGAGCTATTACCTTAGTGTAGAAAATTCTCATTTTTATAATGGTAGATTTCTACAATAGATTGAATAAGTGCTAAACAAACCGATTAAAGAAGTAACTAAGTACTGAAATCAATGCAAGTTGTGCCTATGCATCTGTGGGCAGAATTGGGCCCACTGTATTTAAAAATAAAAGACTGTTGATTGGAGCAACTCCGAGAGGAAAACAACCCTTGTCATCAACATGAAATTGTTTCTGTTCCTAGTAACTAGGGAAGATATTAAGCAGCAATTATTAAACGTTTTAAATATGAAAAAGCAGATACTACTCCTTTTGGTGCAAGTTAAAAGAATTGGCTGCAGAGAACTCTGAACCAATAGTGTTGATTTTTAACTAATCTTGGAGAAATGGGGACGTTCCAGAGGATTAGAAGAAAGCTAATATTGTGCCAACATTTCAGTGACTCAGGAAACTATAAATTGGCTAGCCTGACAATAATCCTGAGCTCAATCATGGAAAGACTGATCTGGGACACAACTGGCCAATAATGAAAAGACAGTAGAATTCAACTTGGGTCTCCTACAGCCTGAGTAAGTGCTCTAACCAGTGGGCTAAAAGTTATAAGGGGACTACCACCTTCTCATTTATCTTGAGAAAGGCACCTAAGCCAGGTCAGCCCTAACTCCAGGAAAGGGTTCACAGCTGTGAATCCCAGTTGGAGACAGGCACTTAAGTTTCCCTTCTGAATCTAACCTGAAAAGGTTAAATGTTGATCTGATCACAGTCCTGTGGGAATGTGTTAATTCTATCAAACCTTTTGATGGAAATCATATTTCCTGGCAGCATGCCCCAGGTCCTCACCTGGGGGGCTGCTGGGCTCCCTGGGATTTCCAGCTCTCCAGAAGCCTACCAGGCTCCCCAGATAGCTGGCTTCCTGAGATTCCCCCACTTCCACCTTGACAGGCAGCCCAGGGAGGAGGACTGCCTGTTCCATGGTTAACCAGCTCCCCAGGCTACCTGGGAGTCAGGCAGCTGTCGTCCCAGGCTCCTTTGGTGGCTAGGTCAGCAGCTCCCTGGACTGCTGGCTTGGTGGGTGGATGGGTGGGCTCCCTGGCTCCCCATCAAGCAAGCAAGACAGCTAGGAAACCAGCCCATCAGGCTGGCAACTGGCTGGGCAGATGGGGAACCAACTTCCCTGGCTGCCCAGTCAGTTCAGAAGTTTTCAAAAATTTAATTCCCATAGAAAATTTTGCATTTCTGATTTTGTTCTGATTCAGAATATTTTTTCCCCCCCAGAAATGTGAAATTTTCCACAGGAAGGAAATTTCAGTTCCCAGGCAGTTCTAGTAATTAACCATTGGAACAACTCACCTAGGAATCAGAGTAGCAGCCGTACTGAATGCATCCGATGAAGTGAGCTGTTGCTCACGAAAGCTTATGCTCAGATAAATTTGTTAGTCTCTAAGGTGCCACAATTACTCCTTTTCTTTTCACCTAGGAATGTGATAGATACTCCATCACTTGAAGTCTTTCAATCGAGACTGGATATCTTAAAATGGTATGCTATAGCTCAAATGGAAGTTATGGGCTTGATGCAGAAATTGTTCAGTGCGGTTCTTTGGCCTCACTTAAACGCAGGAAGTGAGACTAGATGATCATAATGATCCCTTCTGGTCTTAAATTCTATGAATCTGTGTTCCAAGGTCCTGATCTTTGGAATATATCTTACATGTGACATAGCCTCAACCAAACAGTCCTTTGCATGATGATGGGTTAAAAGGAGTCATAATTTTTGCTCAACAGAAGGTCTTGTTGTATCCTTCAGTTTTCAGTGCCATCTATTCAAATCCCCACCTGAGGGCCAACTGACCACGTGATAGCAGCAAAGTTACACTGGCTGTGAGCAGTACTGGTTTGGCACCAGTCACTGCCCATACACCACTTTCTTCAAATAACCATTGACTATAGGCAGTTGTCACTGGGCTGTTGAAGAAGAAGCCTTATACAAACTCGTCCTTCCCAATAGGTGTCCCTTTTATGGGGGGCCTCAAGAAACCTAAAATTGGGATGGGGATAATTAATTATTTTGCTGCTGCATTCCTCTGTGTCAGACTATCGCAGTCTCCTTTTGAGTCCCGTTATTCCTTTGGACCAGGGACATGAAATCTTGGCTCCACTGCCAAGCAAAAATCCTGTTGACTTCAGTGGAGGCAGGATTCACTCCAGCTGCACATGGAATGGCACTGGAAGTGTGTTTTGCTCCAGAGACCTGTTATATAACAAAAAGAAGGAAACTGGGGGAGGAGGGTTTATTGATTAACTGAAACATTTGTATTTCTATAGAAAAGGGACATTAAAAGAAGTGTTTCTGATGAATAAACCCAACATCACCTCCAGCAGCACTTGAACCACTAGAAAAATTTGGCAACTGACAAACAAGGTTTTCATTAAGACAACTAAAAGAATCTCCCTGTCATCATAGGCTATGTTAGTTAGGCTGTCCGGGCTGGGGCAAAGGGGTTGGGGTAGCATTGATTGGGTGGTCAAGTCAAGTGTCACTTGACATAATGAACTCAGGCTGTGTGAAATATAAGCAGAAGTAGCTCTTCTCTGCACCTTGGTCAGGACTTCCCAATATGCAATGACCACAGTAGACACTTGTCAATCTTTGCCTCTGGTAGGATTATCCTCAGTCTGAGAGGTCATATAGCAAGTGCTGAACTTGTCTCACAACAAGACAAGCACAAGTTCTGAACTTGCCTCATGACAAGCCAAACTACTTGGAACTCAGCACCAATAGCTGGAATAGAGCTCACATCCGCCAAAAGCACAAGGCCCACCCTCCAACATGAAAGGAAGAAGACTGTTAGCATGGAAAGATAGGGTTTATGGCAACCAGTTGAGTAGTGCTGATTACCGTCAGAAGGAGCAGGTGGTTCCCTATACATCAGTTGGTCTGCTACAATATAATGATTACGTTACTCTCTGGATGGTGTAGAACGTTAAGGCGAGCAGACATTCTTAGCAGTTTCTTCCCTCCCCTCCCAAATACTTAAACATAGTGACCTCTTCCTTGTTGCCATAAGATACTGTCACACTTTGAGGGGCAATCCAGACTGTGTCACCACCTCCCCTGTAATGTTGGGTGTCTGAAATGCCCTGCTGCGGTAGGTCCCAGCCTGGGACCCTCACTGCCAGCCTACAAGCATGTAGGTCAAACCCCCAGTGTCTGTGCCCTAGACTGCCCTGGTTCAGCAGCTCTGACCCCAACAGCCTGTCTACAGCCCCATTCTGGCTTCCATCAGCCTTGGTTACAACCAGCAAGGTGACCCCAACACAGTCCTGAATTTTCTCAAAACCGTGTGCCCATAAGTGTCCAGCCCTCACCAGGACGACCCAGAGTAACAATGAGGTCCGTTACTCCTTTAAAGAGACAAAAACACATTACAGCTTACTAACTTTATGGGGTAAATACTCCCTTACCTTCAAATACAGTACTGAGTTGGTTTACAGTAAAAAATAAAACACATTTATTAAGATATACATAGGAGTAGGTGAGTTCAAATATAAGGAATGAAGATAAAATAAAAACAAAACAAAATACATGTTCTAGTGGCTAAGACTTATCAAGATGTAGTCTTTGTTCAGGGTAGATTTCTCACCAATCTTTCCATCCATAGATGACTTTCTCTCAAGTCAGGACTTGCCACAGAAGCACAAAAGCTTGGTTTCCCTTGTCTTTCTAGGTGAAAGATCTTTGCCTAAGCAGATTTCTCACTTATACTCAGTTTCCAGAGACTTCAATCCCCGCCCACCCTTGGTTGAAGGATCCATCTTTCTCAGCTTCCAAGAGCTCTGTTCCCTTTTGTCTGTCTAGTGATGCATGCCAAAGATGGCTTCTGTCTTTGCTTATAGCTTCCAAAGGTCAATGA